TATTTGGATCAATTCATTGTCATTCTTCGTCCTGTTGTTCTAAACAATTCGTCCTGTTTTCATTTTTCGAAATTCGCCACTTGGCGCAGTCATACGGATTGTATGCATCATCCAAATTGTTGCACGTTTTTTGCAAAAAATTGTAATGGGTAAAAGTGATGCTTTCGCCATCGAAAACAGTGGCGACAGTAAGAAGAAAAAACTAATTATAAATTAGGCTCCCGTTAAAGAGGCTTCGTACCGCGTTTGAGAATGTTTGTCGCGTATGTAAACGAAACGTCAGGCAAATATTGTTGTACTTAGTACAGTTTCTTCTTGACCAAAGAATCGCAATTAGTCGATAAGTTATCTAAGCTTAATGACGATGCAGATAACGTTGCAGGGTATTTTTTCGGATAATTCCAGCGAAGGACGTTTACCAAAGCTTGATAAGCATTTATTAGCCGGCATTGTCACGATTTGATGCATTGTTATTCGTGCGTTCATAAAACCACAAAATTATCAATTTTATTGCAATTTTTATTGCATTTTTGAGTAATTCATTTAATCTAAGGGATGGAGTATTTGATCGGATGGACTATTCAGAGCCCACCAGTAAAGCGCAATAAATGCAGCGTAAGCTAGGATTAGAGAGGGATAAAGCTAGTGTGGGCCACAAAAAGAATATGTCTGCACAACTAAAAAACTATGCTTAGAATTCGCAGTAAAATAAAAGTATAAAAGATAATGAATTAATATTGAAAAAAAAATGGAAACATCCAACCCAAAAAAGCTCCATAGTAAAAGACCATCCATGTGTGTTTAATACGCGTTATTCTTTCCGCTGGCATACAATAAATAATGTTTATATTTCATTATGGTAATTGACACAATTCAAATGTAGGATGTCTATTGTTTTTGCCGTGTGGGACGGTTTATTTTGGTCGACAGATAAGCGCGTTCATTATATCAAATTTTTTTCTGTTTTAGTTTGAATTTTATATGTTTGAGCATCCGTTTTGTAAGCGGAGATAAATCATCGGTTTTATATTTTATTGTGTATTCACCGCTATTATAAATACATGCTGATGTCACCAACAACCAAGCAACTACAGCTACAGTTAATTTTATTGTTTCGGCTTAATTGTCATTTTAAACTGGCCATCGGAGTGGATCGTCCAAACTACTGGGAATTCATTAACTGGATGAGCTCACAATTTTTGTTTGTTTTTTTGTTCGCTTCAGTAACAGGATACTTCATATGTGGCAGGTTCATTGCTCTGATGGTTTATTCGCTAAATATTCATTGTTGATCTTCCTGGTACTTGAAAGTGGGTTTAATCCTTGCACCGAAGCCCATTTTGTCGAGCGGGCGTTTTCAAATCGATGCTTCTAATCTTCCAGATTAATCAACACCACTTTGTTCTTAACGTAAATGACTATTTTACGTGCTGGTTTCAATGTGCTCATTAGCCAATCGCGCTCAAAAGGCACATGCAATACGCTTTGCGGTTACTTGGAATTAAAAAGATTGTACTAAGAAGTACTGGATTTGAAGGAATCAAATGGGCCATTGATATTGCCTGTGTTCAATGGACATTCAAGGTTGAACCGAGTTCAATAAATCAGATTTCTTATTTCCAATGAATGGCAATTTAAAAACGGTTGAATCGAGTCATGTTAAACCATATATGAATAGTACATTATTAGATCGATAAATAACAATGGCATCGTTACGAAATGTTTGTGCAGTTGATTAAAATCGGTGTGAAATGCGCCAAATTTGGATTTATCGAATTTTGATTCAGTATGATGTGTCGGGACCGTTACATTGAACGTTCAAGTGACGTGGGATGTTCAATTCACTGTTATAAATGAACAATGCTTCACTTAGACACCGCACATGTCCAACGAAATTTAATTCATTCCACTTGATGATTGATTTCGTGATTTGAGGATTTTTTAAATGGCGCTTTCCATACTGAGTATGAACGATATTCGGATTAGAAACCAATCAATCAATGCCTATTGCGTAGTGCCGATTATCTAACTAATTATCTTGAAATAGTCGTAGCTGAAACATGCTGATTCTCTTCTGGTATTTTATTGGGAAATTGATTAAAAAATCCACATGAAAATCGAGCTTCCATCTCTACATGTTTCTTCCATTTATTCAAGTAGCTTTCAAGTTTCCCCAGTTATTTTCCTGTTGCGTTTAGCTTCAACTGGTCACTTAGCCAATGGTCACTCTATATACGCTAAGTGGACGTAATTTTTACCAATTATAACATGCAAATTGCCCGATAAACAGGTGCATATCAATCCTTTAACAGTGTGTTTTCTGGTATGCAATACATAAAAGCACTTGGCAACGATTTGTTAGTTTTTCACTCAGCTATCCACACACGTGGGCATAATCACGCTATTGAGGTTACGCTTAAAAGAAATAAATCATTTTCTTCCCACATACAGTTCGTTTGTTGCCAAATAGTTGTGTTCAGCTAAAACACCTGTAATAGTAGCCGATCGGCTAAAAGCAATCGATCTATCAGTGCTCAGGTTGTTCTTCCATGTCCAACAAAACAGCAGATTTGCAATGGAGGCGTTTTGTATTGACTATCTGACTTTTTTTGGTTTGATCCGAAAAAAATTAACTTCCCTGTTAATGATGGTGAAAAAGAAGCTTCGGTTCCCGTGTTGTTGAGCTGGTGAATTTTGAGACAGTTTCAACCAATCACCGCGAAACCTTAGCGATCATCAAGGAAGAAAACTGGGTTTTTCATCTTCATCCTGGCAGTTTCCTACATTGTTTATAGTTTCTGAACTTTGCTGTTGCGTGGCACCAACTACTTAAGTATAGTTTGGGATGTTGAGTGAGCGAGCAGGTAATTTATATTCGGTTTTCCAATACCTGAAGCGATTAGCTGCTATAAAATCTGATATTACGCAAAACGAATGCTGGGGACAGGGACTTGAATAGAATTCTAATTGACTATATCGTAATATGCGTAGGAGTGAGCCTGTTAACGATAAACACACCTTGTAACAGAAAATGTCTGTTGGTATGTTTGAGGGAGTCGTTGTTGTTTTATTGTGATTGTCCTGCTACTTGGCAGTTTAGTGCCTCAAAGGAATTTGTCCATTTCCAGTGGATTTTCCTGAAGGGTGATTGTGGACCTCAATCGAATGCATTTTTGATATGGACTTTCAACAGTCAACCAATACTCTTATTAGCGCAGTCTAATTGAAAAAAATTACCATCAATCGACAACGATTATCTAGTTATAGGTTTGCACCATAACGGAAACAATAATCGGGGTGTTACGTAAATCGAGATAATAATAAAGCATAGCAGTATTCCTGCAATGAATAGTAGATTTAATAGTAAACAGAAACACCTGTGCCCGTGCATACTATTAATATCTATTTATGTTACGTAATGACAGGACCGTGTTAGGTCGATTGAATGGGTTTTAATAGATAGGCGGTTTGCTTCATTTACTGCACCTTGTAAATGGCCTGTTGTGCATCCTGTTAATGCTATCGAAGATCCGCTATCATATAATGAAATTTTCCAAAAGTTTCAAAACTTTCCGCTTCGATTTTCATTTTTCCCCAACAATCCACTACTCGGCTCAATTTAGTCATCATTTTTGCGTTGATTGCAATCAATGTTTTTCCTTCATTTCCATTGTTTCCTCTAGTCAGTATGTTTCTATTTGCTTCTGTTATGAATATGAAATTGGTCTTCGTATCACGGGTTTTTTTATTTAAATTTGATCTCTTGTTGGGTGATTTTGTCAATACGTTTTTATCCCAACGAGAAAACTAAAAGGGTTTTAACGAGAAAAAAACGCAATAGGGTGTTTTCATTGTATCAAAGATTCCTACAAACTGAACATTAATCTATGGTAATATGAAAGATTAAATAAGTTTATACTATCTATCTATCTATCTATTGCTATTTTGTTAAATATTTAATAAACCAATGCAGCTAAAATTCAAATTATTCATGAATCTCTAAAACGCAATCCTATTGGTTGTGACGTTTCTGGTCATATAAATGGCGGATTGTTTACGTTCTGTGCAACGTGTTTAGTTGTATGGTTGTGTTTCATTAATTATTTTGTGGATTTAAATAATTTATAGTTTGTGTTAAACTAAAAATGGCTTCAGAAGGATTCCTTAAAGCGTCAACAAACAATTTACCAGGTGTACATATTTTCATGGTTACCGAATTTTTAAAAAACGACGAAAGCTTCAATTCAGCCGAATTAAGGGTGTCAAAGCAGCAGTGTAAGTAAAAATCCGTAAAATCATTATTAGTTACACTCTCCTTAATATACTAATCTGTCTGTATTGGTTTACATTAGGTAAATAATATAT